AGCTGGTTTCTTCAAAATCCTGTCTTTATTTTGTTTGGCAATGGCTGGTTCTAGTTCTGACACGTTGTGTTTTCTACTTATTCAAGTGTTTCTGTTTCTTTGTTTTCCTCTCTTGACTTTCGGATTAGAGGAGATTTTCCTTCATTGTTTGATTTCTCCTGCAGTCTATTTATATCCCTGTAGTAGTCACTCTGGAAAATGTAAGGGCTCATTCATCCTAAAGAAGCTTGAAGTGAGTCAATATCAAGATGGCCATGAGAGTGCACGCCTGTCATCCCAACAGTGGGAAGGCTGAGGCAGGAGGATGAGAATTGGAGGCCAGCCTGGGCTACACAGTGAGTTTGAGGCCAAGCTGGATTACATGGGCATCCCCCACCTCCTGCCAGTGCAGTTCCAGTTTCTGGTTTCCGGTGCCTGGCGTGGCTGGGCTGGGAAGCAGTGGAAGCAGCAGAGCCTTCAAGGGATGGAAGTTGAGGTGCCAGCCACTGCTGGGCACACAGACGCCTGGCGGGCCAGCGTCAGACCTCCAGCTGTCGGGCTACACAGGGGAGAGCGGCATGGTGCCCCAGGTCTCTGGACAAAGTGTGGACAAGCAGAGTTCACACCGGGTCCCACCTGTAGGGGCCCTGCTGGGTTCGCACTGGCCAAGACAGGCCTGGCCCTGGCCCCTCCTGTCACCTCACCACCGTCACTGCTGGCCTCCTTCAGCGCATGGTTTCCAGTAGCAACGATTAGGAGTGGACAGGTGCTGCAAGGGACACAGGGGCCCAGGGCTGGGCAGATGCGGCAGGAGTGCTGGGAAGGTCACACCAGGCTTCAGATAACTGTGCTTCAGTGCCAACAGTGAAGGTGGGGAGGACTGAGACTGGGGGACACACATCCATCCCTGCTTGTCACTGTTGTGGAAATTTCCCAGCCAGCCATGGGCTTTTAAAATATTGCAGATAGCTGGGTGTGGTGGCGCATGCCTGCCATCCCAGCCTTCAGGAGGTTGAGGCTGAGACAGGAGGATCACTTTGAGTTCAAGGCCAGCCTGGGCTACATAGTGAGACTCTGCCTCAGAAAAGTCCCCCCAAACTGCAAATACCCTATTTTCTCTTTTATTGATCACTTTTTATAGTTTTGATTTCTAGAGGTTCTGTTTGGTCTTCTTTCAAGAGTACCTGGTCATGCTGTAGTCTTTTTTATTATTGGTGGTTTTGTTTTTTGGTCATACTTTCAATTTTCTTTTTTTTTATTATTTTCTTTTTTTTTTCATACTTTCAATTTTCAAGTGCTGGGATTATAGGCATGCACCACCATGCCCAGACTTTTTTTTTTTTTGTACTGGGGATTGAACTCGGGACCTTGTGTTGGCGAGGCAGGAGGCAGAACCACTGACTAAATCCCTGGTCCTTAATTTTTAATTCAATACTTCCTTTTTTTCTTTAAGCCTCTACATCATGCTTATATTTGGTCCCCATGCCCACCCTGTACCAGGGATAGAACTCAGAACTTTGGGCTTGCCAGGCAGGTACAACACTGCTGAGTTACAGTCCCAGCCCTGGTGTGATGCAATTTCAAAGTGTGCTATCTTAGCAGAATTGATACAGCTCTGTGTGGGTTGGTATTTATTTTG